CCCCCTTCATATTACACAGAAAAGCTGATCCAATGATAATATGGAGCTCGAAGGAAGGGTTAGCAATCTTGAGGAGGAGGATTATGCTGGATTTAAAAACTTAAGGCCAGTGTTGTCGACTCTTTTCAAAGGAAGTAGCTAACCTTTCCTATTCGGGGCCTCCTTCCAGAGTCCCTCCCCAACAATGATCACCGTGGAGGGAGACGGGTAACATGCCATTGTAAGTGCTCGCAGCTCATTCTAGCCTCTCTGGTGACGTGCAATGAATGCACGGGCCAGAATTTACACAGGAAGGCGGGTTTACAAGAGTCCCGAGTCAACCCCAGACGCCAGATGTTTTTCTCTTTTTTCTTTTTTTGTCTTCGGTGGGAACATTTGATTAATTTCTAAGAATTCCAACAAACGTATTCAAAATCTTTTTGAGTAATATTACCAAGCCGGCCGTTTAAATTGAGTTTGCGAGATTGAAAACAAGAACGATAGCTGATTTGATTTGTTTGTCTGAAAAAAAACTCGTGCATGCCATAAAGAAAGCAGATGTTGCAGATTAAATCATTTTTTCCTCTTGAGTATGTGTGACTTTTGACGTGCGATGATCACGTGATCAGGAACACAATGTCCTTTTCAGAGACGAGCAAACTGGATGCAAACAGGTTCTTCCCTTCTTCCCCAGGCGGCATGCGCGTAATGAGGGTTGATGTGGTCTAATGCGGCTTTGGTTATACACAATGCAGTGACACCGCCCGGCGTGGTTTCATTCCCCCTCATACTGCACCACACTGAATAATCACGCTGTGTGTGGTTCGCCCTGAACATAGTGGGGGTGAAGGAGCCCTTGAAACAAATATCCGCCTCAATATATATAAACGATATTTTAACACAATTAAATTGTAATTAAGAGTTTAGCATTGGTGAAACACACATCACAGAATGATTCCTTGCATGCTGTGAATCTAAAGGGAGAATTCAAGGATTTAGGGTCATGTTATGAAAAACCCCGAGCATTTCCTGCTGATGAGCTCCGTGTCTCCGGAGCAAAATCAGTTGTTATTCCATCACAAACGGTGACGCCAGTGGAATGAAGGACCTCCTCTATTTTCCCTTTCCCTTGTTTTTGGAGTTTGCAGTGCTGATCAAAAAACCTCTTTTCACTTTTCCCGGCTATTTTGACCGAAGAAAAAAACACTACTGAGACCGGCTTGGCGAGTTTTACGTTGTTTGCTTCCTGTTTCAAGTGTATTTTACGACGAGTTAACAAGACAATGAAAAAGGCCTTGAAAAGCCAAACTCCCGGGTCACTATGGCAACATCAGCACTCACTGCATTCGCATTTAACCCAAAAAATAGTTTCCCATAGACGTCATTCATCTCGGAGTGGCAGACGCTTCTGTGTCATCTTACTTTTGTACAGCGTCAAATATTGACTCCTGCATAAAATCTGCCAAGCTGGCACACTCGCACACGCTAGGAGCGCGTCCAAATTAAACACACACTACACGTTTGTGTAAGGTGTGCGAAGAGGGCTGCACACGCCGCTCGCTTTCATAGGACACAATGTGCATGACTCGCACAAATGGCTGCCAGAAGACTTTGAAGCCTTCCGCTAATAATTGACCTGCTGCTAAATGGTGGAACGGGCTCTCTGATGACATGAGGACCGTCACAAACTAAAGACGCACTCTGCCTGCACTAAACACACTAACACATTGTACGTAGAATGGCTCTTATTTATAGCAAGTTGTTGTAGATCGGCATGGTTAATGAAACTGTTCACTTTTCACCCTTTGTTGTTTCTTGTTCTTCTGAGTTTGCATCCTTATGGTTGAAGTGCACTTATTGTAGGTCGCTTTGGACATAAGCGTCAGCTAAATGACATGTAATGTAATCTAAAGTAACGTGATTCGACTCACACTCAATCCCAACAGATCTCCGAGAAGCAAATATGACACACGCAACTGCCTCTATCAGGCAGACTTACAAACTCCCCCGCCGCGCCCGAGCAGATGAATTCACGGGGGATGATGCGAGGTCTGGGATGGGAAGTGGTCATTTCGTTTTTATTTAAAAGCACACATCAATACTGTAGTTTTTTGTTACCTTTTTGGAGAGGTTATTGTTCCCCGGGCTTCAGCTGGTCCACATACTGTATATATTCAGGTGAGTGATTGAAACGGGCTGGTTCGCCTATTTGGGACGTTTACAAGTTCTGTTGCGTGGTTCCGAAGCCTTTATGGGCTTTTTGTGAGCTAGCAAAAACGTTGGCCTTTTAGACTTCCTGCAAGCTGAATTACTCTGAATGAATATAGGCCAATTACTTTAGTTAACGTTTGTTTCATTATGTCACTTTGTTATTCAGGATGTGTAGCTGTAATTAACATTAGCGACTTCATCCTTTTTGGCGGAGCTGAATATTTTGACTTACAATTTTATTAATATTAACTCACTAATATTTGTATTATATGTTTTCTTTCACGTGTAGACAGCCTTTGAGTACCTAAACCCGTGAAAAACGTGTAATTATTTGATAGATGGGTGGATTTTCAGCTCGACAGTAGTGAATTATTTTAAGGTCATCCCATTCAAGTACAATATGAGGGGCTCGTGTTACTATAGGGCTGGGGTGTCAAACTCAATTGCACAGGGGGCCAAAATTCAAAACACACTTCAGGTCGCGGGTCGAACAGAATAAACATTTATTGAACACACTAAAACTAAATGTTTCTTTTAACATAAATATAAATACAAACAGACGAGAATGTTATTCTGCATTAAATAAAATTAAACTTTAAATAACTTAGAATATCTTGCTCTCCATAAAAATATATCCAGTCAAAACTATACAAGTTAGAAATATGAACATGCTGCAAAACAAAAAAAAACCTGGAAATATAAACAAAATTTGTGCTTTTCAGAAATAACAAATAACGATGCAAAACATTCAGTTTTCTTTGCTCTTATGCCATTTTATCAGAGCTGGATGCTTTGCATCTTTTTTTGGCAACAAGGTGCTCATCAGTGAGACTACTGTGTGTAGTTTTGTTTGTCTTTACTGAGAACAGCTTCTCACGCACATATGTGCTGCCAAACATGCACAAGGTTCGAGCCGCATGTAGACGGAGCTGGGACATTGCTGCGGGAATGGAGTGAATAAACAGTGTCGTACTTTGCCTTTAGTCTCCCATTACACTGCAGCTCAATCCGCTCCATCTGAATCTGCACAAGTGCAGTTTCCACGTCGACGGCAAATGGGTTGCCAAACAACTCAAAATTATTTTTTTGTTCCTCAAAATCACCAAAGCGCCGTGCGAACTCCGTGCGCAGTGAGCTCAGTTTATCAGCAAAGTACGTATTTGGGAACACCGTTGTTCCGCATTACTTGGCAACAGGGAAAGTGGGGCAAGTTGCACTGGTGCATTTGTGTCTCCCATAAAATCAGCTTCACTGCGTCATACATGTCAGTGATCATGCGGTCACGTCTCTGGAGCTGGAAGTTTAAGGCATTGAGACGTGCGGTTATGTCAGCCAGAAACGCCACGGAAAGCGCTCGGCAAGGCAGCTGATGGCAGATGGGATCTGTTGTTTATTTTGTTATCATTACATTACATTACATGTCATGTAGCGGACGCTTTTATCCAAAGCGACGTACAATAAGTGCATTCAACCATAGGGTACAAACTCAGGAGAACAAGAAACAAGAAAGTGCAATTTCCCCAAATAAGCCAATTTACAATTTGCTATAGATGAGTGACGTTACAAGTACAATTTAAGTGCTACAATTTGTTAGTCTTTAGTCGAGGTAGAGTCTGAAGAGGTGTGTCTTTAGTTTGCGGCAGAAGACGATATCAGCGCTTCGTATCGTCGGGCCATTAGTAACAATAATATAAAATGATCTCGCGGGCCAGACATATATGCTATATGGGGATAAACCCAGAAGGCCACCAGGAGCCCAGGCACCTTGGCTACTTTAGGATTTCTTTGGGCTTATGCAGGGCCCGAATGGGTCGTACGTGTTAGCTAAATAGGGACCATGTATTCCCATTCAAGGTTGCAGAATGTGGGGTCCTCATGGTTCCTGTGTAAATAACAAAACTGGGCCCCATTGGCAGTCAAGTGAAATCCCACAAGAAGCCCGCTGGACCAACAGGAGGATCCAGAGTGGAACCGGCAGCAGCACCTGATTGGGAGTCACATTTCAGCTCAACGCCGGCCGGGCTCTCGGCTGACTGGTGGCCTGCATGAGAAGTTTTGATCTGCACAAACAAGTGGAATGTAAAATATGTAGAAAATAAATACAAACGTAGACGTGATTCCCTCACTGAGAGTAAAACACTCGACAAAACCACGACTCTTTGCTGTTTTGGCTCCGAAAATGGTGGAATGAGCTCTCTGCTGACATCAGGACTGCAGAGACCACAAAGACACACTTCACACACTCTACCTTGACTGAAGACTAACATATTGTAGCACTTAAATTGTACTTATAACGCCACTTATTTATAGCAAATTGTAAATTGGCTTATTTGATGAAATTGCACTTTCTTGTTTCTTGCTCTTCTGAGTTTGTACCGTATGGTTGAAATGCACTTATTGTAAGTCGCTTTGGATAAAAGCGTCAGCTAAATGACATGTAATGTAATAATTGTGAACAAAAAGAAAATTTTGTTATTAATCAAATATTGGTATAGCCCATTCAAAAGGCATTTCAATTAAGTTTAATTGATGTAACGATATTAAGGTCCCAAATAATTACAACAAAAACCCTCCTGCTGGATCTCCTCTAGCACACACACACACACACACACACACACACACACACACACACACACACACACACACACACACACACAGTATGTTGGAACACAATGTTTGCTGCCCTGTCGGCATGTACCAAGCCAACTGTAATAACAGCCGTCCGCCATCGCCAAAAAAAAGCGAGAAAAAAAAGAACTTGTGAGTTTTGTAATAAGGGCGAGGCCTATTCGGCTCGCTTCTCGTGGCCGTGATTCGGCTCTGATTCCCCGCAGCGGTCGGTCGGTCGGCGCGCTACAGTTGTCCGTCTCGTTGTCGCGGCTTCTCATGTTTTTTGTTTGTTTTCGGCTCCATGTTGAAGTTTTTCTTCTTCTTCTTTTTTCTTCTACCCGTTGAGCTCACATAGTGAGCGCGCGCGCGCGCGCGCACACACACACACATACATACGCGCGCCAGCGCGCGCAGCCGTCGCCTGCAACGCAGCGGAGCGGGTCATTCCAGGTTAAACCCCGGCGCGGCGTCCCGTCCAGTTTAACCGAGCGGAGGTCGCCGCTGGCTCCAGGCGGGGAGGAATGCACATGCACTGCGGCTCCGGATAATATTGGATAGGAGCTTCGTCTTGCATATGCGGTATGTTTCTTTTTTTTTAATTATTTTTTTTATTTTTTCTAATTTCCGGGTATTCTTTGACAACAGTGCGGCCAATGACAGCCTCTCCACCACCCACCCCCCCCAAAAAAACTAAAATAAAAACGGCTTGCAAGGGCAGTTTAACAGCTACATGGCCGCACGTGCCGCTTTCTCTGGCGAAATGTGCATAATGACGTTCACCCTCGATGTGTCACTGGTGCCCGGTGGAGGGACTAACGTTTGCCGGACTACGTTACATTTTGGGGTAATTGAATTTCGTGTTGCTAACCAGCGGACGGTTCGCACCTGAGCCAACGCGTCTTGGGTTTACACAGAATGATATGAGCCTAAATGATGGTTCGGGGTGGTTTTTATCCAGTGAGCAGTACTCAATGACTGTGATATTTCAACTTTTAAATCGGGTCGATAGCGCTTCTTCACGCCCACCGCGGTGTATTTGGTCTGGATGAGATGGCGAAATGAAGGACATAATTGATCGAAAAAGTTCCGATTTATTGCATTTGTTAACGCCGAATTGACCACTGGATGGTGACGATTTGTAAGCACATCTCTAAGTGGTGTTATCGTGTTGTACATTTTAACAAAAAGCGAGAGCTCATTAAATTGGCATATTCCGGGACGAGGTTCAGTATCCGGGTAGCTTTAATGCAGACTTGAAGCAGTTGGTTAAGTAGTTTCCCTCCAACCGGTTAATGTTTAATTCTCCTTATGCGGGGCTCGTTTCACTTCTACTTATGTGGCCGCAAACACGAGTCATTTAATTTGAGATAATAATGCGCCATTTACGTCGAGGACAAATGTGTTCTCGAGTGTAAACGTCAAGCTGTCGCCCGGTACATGTATAACAGGATTATACATTAGCACGTGTCGTTTGTGCAGCAGTGTGATAAGGTGCATGTTACCCAGAGGTGCATGCATTGATGCCTTCAAAGGCTGTCCGGAAATACAAGTGTAGTCGTGCGTGAGCGATGCAGCAAGGTGACTGGGAGTTTCCCTCTCTCACCGTGATGTCTGTGGTCTAACAACAGGAACTATGACATCAGCCGGTGTTGCAAAGTAAAAGTGTGCATGTATTAAATCGCACTCCTCGGTCCCGAAAAACCGACGGATGAACAGTAACATTTAGTATATGTATGTAAATCGCATACACATACATTATCTTCACCAGGTTCTGATTTTAGCGACCGGGGATATAAACTGGCATAAAGTATCGACTTTTAATTTGAAGTCTTGGTTTTATTAAAACGATATTGATGGTATGTTTGCACAATACCTTTTTTACAAATAATAAATGAAACACGATTAATACCAATTTAACGCTGGCATTTTCATTTTCAAAGCTGCATTTAAATACATTACATCATAAAAAAAGGGAGTTTCTCAGGGACTACTGAAGGCAGCATTTAAGGTGGTCCAGCTGCTGGCTTGGCACTATGCAGTGAGAGCCGTGAATATCTATCTATCTATCTATATGTATTAATGATAAAAATAACCTTGGAGAGCTCACATTTATGGGATAGTAAGAGCAGAAGGGAATATCTGGCAACGGGAGGGCAGAAGCCTGAGGTCACAGGATGATATGAGCGAACATTATCAATTGTTTAACCACATCTGGGCAAGCAGAAGAGATTCTCACACTGCTTTCTTTGAGCCGTCTGAATCACCTGAGCAGGAAAGTCAAACCGAGCTGTTAAATTGGACCTATTTGATATCATTGTCTTAAACTCTAAATAACTTAAATGGCAAAAGATCAGATTCAATTTGTGAAATTATTCAAACGTTACCCCATTATGGCAGATATATTTTAAATGAATCTAATATTAATCTAAAAGCACTTTAGCAACTTGCTTCTAGGTTTGTGTTAACGTCCTTAACCGGCTGTAGCTTTCTTCGAAATATCTCGATATCGATTTTTTACAATACATAATATCATGCTGGAATGCATTAGTATCGGTTGTTTGATGCCAGTCTCCACTTTGAATTGTTTGTTAGAACTTGTTGGGCTGCTGGCTTGAAGTTCCGCCCACCCGTCGACTGTCTAAGAACAAGTCTGGACTCCAAAATTACTAAACAGTTGCATCAGAACACAGACAAGTGGGACGAAGTGTTTGATAAAGAACCTTTCAGTCTCTTTTATGGCGTTTTCACTTCCGTCAGGCCCACAGATGTTGTTTCCCGGTTTCACAGTAAGTGTTTGTCTACATACAATCACATTTTCAGTTCTTTAATTTGTTGGTTTTATTTTAAAAGAAGTGATGTTGCCGTCTTTTCCCACACAAAAAACTGGATTTGATTCAGTAACCAAAAGTGTGTTTTTTTCTAAATCCATGAGCAGCAGTTTGGAACTTGGTATTAGTTGAATGATACGCATTGTTTTACATTTGGCACTAATGTTATGGATGTGATTGTAGGCCTTTGGTTTGAGGGCGGTATGTATTAAACGCCTATTTAGTGATGAGGCGACAGGTTGTCTTGTTTAACTCTTAAACAACTATTTCGTTACATCGTTGTGCCACATCAACAACAAGAAGTGGGCGTCGAAGTCCTTGAATGTTGCTCGGTAATTACTGAAGAATGATGCAGTCAAAGGTGAGGCCGCTGAACCATAATGAGCTGTGTGCATGTTTTTGTACATGATGTACTGCCAATTTTTGTATTGATTTCAACTATCGTTGCAATTATTTTGATTAACGATTCATCTTCAAGTCTTGTTTTATTTTTTCAAACGATGTTCCGGGTCCTTCAATGTGGGACGACGTTTGAGTATGTCGCTTTGAGTGGTTCTCAATCTGAGGATTGGGACCTCAACCGGGTTGCAAGATTGTTTTGTTGCCAGATCTTTGCTGAGATTGAAAATAATATTGAGGTCATGGGAACCTTTTTGCTGATTTCTCATGCGTTGCACACACATAGACAGTGTGCAGGAGGTGGAAGTAGTCATCATAAAGTCACTTCCTTTTGCAACCGAAGCAGTCGCCCACTGCTCGCCAGTAGAGAGAATACAACGGTGTGGAGCAAATGATTAATTCATTACATTTTTTAATTTTTTAATAAGGATAATAAAAGATTACAAAGGGATCAAAGGCCAACATACTGCAAGAGTTTGTTTGTAGCAGCCCCTGATGGTTGCAATCACTCATTATTTATAAATGCAGTACTATACTGCAACATTAAACAGTAGCTGACCTGTAAAAAGTCTTCCAAGATGTAAACGGTTGCTTATTTTACAGTATTCAACTGTATTTACGAATAACAGTATATTACTGCTGAGATTTTCTTGTAATTTTACAGCAATTTGTTACAGTGTAGGTTTAAAATGCTTTCTCAAAGAGGCCGTGTATTACTTTGTGAAACAGGAAAAACGTTCTACTGCTGCTGGAAAACGTTCCTCTCATGAATCACATGAACGATGCGGCGTAAAGGATCATACAACCAACCAGTAGGTCGCTTCCTACTAGCAGATGATTTAAAATGTTCTAAAATTAGGGGAAACGTCCCTGCTTTTTGTGGACATCTGTAACTTCATCTTGTAGGATGTAATAAATCGCTAAATTGTGGTGCAATTTTGCGGGCGGCACCATTTGGTGCTTGCCAAACACAAGTCGATGATGTTTGCAGAGATGCTCGCAGTCGCATACGGCTCAGTTACAGTTCTTACGTTTTCGTGCAGCCCACACGCAACGTTGCTGCTGCTGCTATGAATTGATCTGATCTGGTTTGGGTTACACTGCAGGAAAAGCATGTTAAATTATATTGTCAGTCTGTCCTAAGTTTATTTTATGGTGCCATAATGGAAAGAATTCTTTGGCAGTGAATTGTTAGTTCGAAATACTGACTGAATTGTGGCTTCACTAAATAAAGGTGTATCTTTCAGAGCATCAAAATACAAAAATATATATATATATATATACAACTTTTTTCTGTGTTTTGATGCTGTATTTTTAATATATATATATATATATATATATATATATATATATATACACACACACACATACATATATTTTACACACACACTAAATAAAGGTGTATCTTTCAGAGCATCAAAATACAAAAAAAAATATATATATACAATTTTTTTCTGTGTTTTGATGCTGTATTTTGTATTTTGATTCTCTGAAAGATACACCTTTTATTTAGTGTGTGTGTAAAATATATGTATGTGTGTGTGTGTGTAATATATATATATATGTGATATATATATATATATATATGTGATTTATATATATATATATATATATATATATATATATAAGGTGCAGGACTTTTGTGTACTTCTATTTAGGTTGTTGAGTGAAATGCATTACAGATACAAGGCTTCGTAACATTATTAATTATTAACATTCCTGCACTGCCTGGTGTTGTTTTAACAAGAAAGTTTGTACATATTAACTTCTCCTTTTTAATTATTAAGGCACAAAGCTCTTAATTTCTCTATATTTTTATGGCTCGTTGTTTATTGCTGCTTACATTACTTCCAATGCTCTGGCTCATTATCGGACATATTCCATTAATGAACCATAACCACAGCTGCTGCTCTGCCCAATGTGCAATGTTATCGTACATAAGCAGCAGTTACATTCATTTATCTTGCAGTTCCAATATTCAGTAATGGTCATGTCATGTTGATTTCTATCCTACCAGCACTATGTCTTTATGAGGATAACAAAGCGAAATGATTTTATTCAAAATAGAAGAACATTTTCTCTATAAAAATGCATACTAGTGCAAAAGACCAGCTCTATGAACAACAATAAGCAATAACAGCAACACTATGAAGTCACTTTTTTGTTTTTATGTTCTTTTTTAAATTGGGAGTGGGGGGGGAAAGAGTCATTTAACTATTTAACCAACTGCAAGACTTTAAATGCTGATATGCACTTACATTTTGAATCCGTATATTCTGTTACATATTTTTCCTGTTTTCAAGTTTTAATCTGCATAGCTCACTGTGTATAACCAACATCAGGTTATAACCA